AATAAAACTCGAAGACCCTCAAAGATCGAAGGAAAGTCAGCCAGAAGGACTCCTAGAAGACCATAGGATGGCTATCTATTTTAAGTCATTTTATTATCAAATAAATGAATTATAGAAGAAATTATCACTAGAAAAAAAGTGTGATTTGTGGTGGTTATTTGGCAGTTTTTGGCGGTTAAAAACCGCCACAAACTGAATTACCAGAATCATTAATAATCATCAGATCCATAGTCGCCAAAATCGGTTTACGATGTATATTTTGTAAATGCTGGTTTAAAATCGTCACAAAATTCATTTAAATTTTGCTTGATTCAACATTTCTGGCTGCTTTAAACCCCCAAAAAATTGTGTTAATTTTTTTTCTACTTATTTAAACTTTCTGACAGTTTTAAATCGTCAAAAAAATACATTTTTTTTTACTTTTCTCACATTTTCTGATAGTTTTAAACCATGAACTAATAACTTCATTCTACATTATATTCATGCATTTTTATTATTTTTAAAAAATAGATTTAAAATTATTTTATAAAAGCACGTTCATATTATAAATTGAGAAATAATAATCTACATATTATATTGATGCAAAGGCTGATCAATGCCTCCTTTGTTCTCCATGAAAATATAAAGACAGTAGTTAATGTTTTGTATTATATTGTTACTTCCAATGCAGGGAGGAGATTGAAGCAAAGGGGAGGGAGATCAAATTCTCAAGTGTCAAAAGAATAAGAGAATAATAATGTTTGTGAATATGCCTTTGTTATAATCAGCAGGACACAAAAAGATTATTAATGACTCATGAATATATCACCTTCACAACTTTTTTTCAGTTTTGAATAAATTGACTCATTGAATTTTGTCCTGTTATAAAGTGTTTGATAGTGATTTTCACCACAATAATGCAAATATTGATTTTCATTGCAATAACACAGACCAACACATGGATCATTCTCTTACATGTCATATTAAAGTGATTGAACTCTCAACCCTTATCACTATTCTAGCTGGATCTCACCATGTATATAGTACTTTCATGTCAAAAACAAATATTATACTGTGAGATTTGACTTATCATAAGCAAGATAATTAAATTTACATATTCTCTTTAATTATCCTGTTAGATTATGAAACCACCATAATTAGCTTTGTATTTTATATAAGCATGTCATATGTGAAAAGAAACTAATAAGGATAGGCAAATCAGAAGAAACAAGAACAATTAGGCTAGTTATAAATAGGGGCCTATCCGAATAGTAACCGTGATAATTTGCATTCAAATAATAATAATTCCTTCCCATTAAAAACTATTTGAATTTGTATTTTTCCTTAAACTATATTCTGACTCTACTTATTATATATATATATATATATGCATTTCTAAAATAATCTAAAATTCTATATAATACAATTGACAGAGTATATCCATAAAAAATTTTCCCTCTTCTTCCACAATCAAAATTTCAATTCTTCTAATAAGAAATCAAAGAAAGTATTTTTATATTGATTCGCTCAAACAGAGCAACGTCCAGTCTCCTTCAAATGAAGGGTTTCACTAGATAATCAATGAGGTACAAGCATTATTTGTTCAGCCTCTTCAGACTCGCAGTGAGTATTATAGACCACCCAGGTCACGACCACTCCTGGTCCCAAGTATTCTCAACCACTTCTGGATCGTCAGCTTCACTCGCAGACGCTAGTATTCTTTACTCAGCCACTTCTGGCTCTTAGTGAGTATTATCAACCAACTCTTGGCCCGTTGACTTCATCATCAATGCTAGTATTCTTTACTCAGCCACTCACTAGTGCGAAAGAGGCTTTTTATGTCTGTTATTTTAAGGTTTTTACGTCATAAAAACATCTGACGTTAATGCGGGGGACGTAAATTTACGTTGGCTTTTAAGACCGACGTAAATTTACGTCGGAGTTTTTTGAACACCGACGTAAAAAAGTTGTAAAACCCAAAAAATAATTACACTAGAACGACCCGTTCTCCTTGCAGAATGGGTCGTTCTCCTTGCAGAACGGGCCGTTCTGGTTGCAGAATGGCCCATTCTGCAAGGAGAACTGCTCGTTCTGGTTGTAGAAGGGTGTTACTGACGTTTCTATGTTGTGTACAACTACTATCATTGGAATCGATACTGAGAGCCGTGTCCCTAACTTGAACTGGTAGTCCATATTCAAGATCCAGAAGGCACACTTGACAGACATTTTTCAATTTACTACATGTTTGGCAAATCTGAGTTTTCTTATATCTTGCATCTCGACCAGGTCTCCATCTAAAAACAGTGAAAGGCCTTGTACAAATTTTGCACTCCTTGTCATACTCTGCTCTTGTCTGCAGCCAAAGATAAACATTATGATACCATGCAATCGCCGAGGAGTTGCCAAAGATAAACATTGTGAATAAAGAAAATAGAAAAGGTTCATAATTTTCACCATTAAAAATGGGAATAGGGATAGATGACGGTTGAATGGTGTTAGCCATGGATTAGAATTTGATTTTTTTTGAAAGTGGGTAGAATATTGGGAAATTATTTTTGGAAGTAGTGGGGTAATATTTCTACGCCCAGTAGATGACCGAACGTAGCTCTGGTACCACTGTTAGTTTATGAATTATCAAATAGCAAAAGCTTATTTGATTGGTAGAAGGAATGGGGAGGCAAATTTATAATGATAGGCTTAGTTGAGAGGAAAACTAGTTTAGAGGAATAGTTGGAATAAATTTGAGTAGTGGAAATGGCTTACTAGTTGCTTTGTACAAATGTTGAGTACATGACCTATTTATAGGCCTCAACACATCATTCATATTTTATGTAGAAAACCCTAGAAATATCTATTCTAGAGTTTTCTATCTATATGTAATTATCTACATAATTCTAGAGTTTTGTATGATCTAGTAGTTACTAGCATACCTATGTATTTTTCTATAAGAGTCTAGATTATTCTAGAAGTTTGTATCACATTTTAACAACGTGAAACTATTATTTTTCTTCTTATTCAACTAATTACAATGACAAGCATGGTCTAGTCAAATAATCGAATAAACAACTCCAGAATAACTATATATCCAACTCACCGAATAAATATTAAAGAATGGGGAAGAGAAACTCAAAGTCTTCCCTGACTATGGACTTGGCTATGTATATATAATACTGAACAACATAACGTTTTGCACTCACCACAAAGCAAAAGAGAGAGCTACTAAAATGGCAGAATCTGCAGTGTCCTTGGCCGGTCAGCATTTGCTTCCAAAATTTTTGGAAGCTCTCAATATGCTGAAAGATCTCCCAAAAGAAGTTGCAGACCTTACAGATGAACTGGAGACCTATCAAGATTTCATCAATTATGCTGATCAAGTAGCTGAAACTGAACAAGATGGTGGTAGACGTGATAGAATCAAAAAAAGGGTGATGCGGCTGAGAGAAGTAGCTTTTCGCGTTGAAGATCTCATTGATGAATATAAGTTATGTGAGGAAAAGCAACCTGATGATCTTGGATGTGCAGCTTTACCATATGAGGTTGTTGACTTCATCAAGACTCTGATCCATCGCATTCAAGTAGCATATAAGATTCAGGAAGTTAAGTCACTTGTTCCTGCTGAAAGAGATAGATTCAAAAGCCATTTTCCTTTAGAACAAAAGCCAAACAGTTCTAGAGGAAATCAAAATGTCACATGGCACAAACTCCGAATGGCTCCTCTCTACACTGGGGAAGCTGAGGTTGTTGGCTTTGACGGCCCTAAAGATCAATTGAAAGATTGGTTGATAAAGGGACGATTAGAGCGCACTGTCATCTCTGTGGTAGGAATGGGAGGACAGGGAAAAACCACTCTTGCCAAGTTGGTTTTTGACAACAAGGAGGTCTTTGAATGCTTCGATTGTCGTGCTTGGATCACAGTTTCGCAATCCTACACTGTAGAAGGACTGCTGAGGGATATGTTGCAGAAGTTTGGCGAAGAAAGAATGAATGTTTCTTCGATGGATCGGATGTCCTTGATAGATCAAGTGAAAGCCCACTTGCATTCTAAAAGGTATGTTATCTTTTTTGATGACGTATGGAATAAATATTTTTGGGATGAGATTGACTTTGCTCTAATTGATAACAAAAAAGGAAGTAGGATATTAATCACAACCAGAAACGGAGAGGTTACAGAGTTCTGTAAGAAATCTTCTTTCATTCAAGTGCACAAGATAGAGCCTTTAAGTGAAAAAGAATCTTTGAGATTGTTTTCTAAGAAGGCATTTGAGTATGGATCTTATGTATATTGTCCAGAAGAACTTAAATATATATCTCTTGAAATTGTTAGAAAATGTAAAGGTTTACCTCTAGCAATTGTGGTTATCGGTGGTCTTTTATCCCAAAAAGATAAAAGTGCCTTTGAATGGAGACAGTTCAGTCAAAATCTAAGTTTAGAGTTGGATAAGAATTCCAACTTTAGCCTAGCAAAAATTTTAAGTTTAAGTTTTGATGATTTGCCTAATAGTCTCAGATCATGTTTATTGTATTTTGGAATGTATCCTGAAGACTACGAAGTTAAATCTAACAGACTTATTATGCAATGGATAGCTGAAGGGTTTGTCAAATCAGAAGGGGAAAAAACACTCGAAGAAATTGCAAGGCAATATTTAGTAGAGTTGATCCATAGAAATTTGGTGCAAGTATGCTCATTTACCATTGATGGCAAACCCAAACGATGTCGTGTTCATGACTTATTACATGAGATGATTCTTACAAAAATCAAGGATACAGGATTTGGTTTGTATATTGGTGAGCACAACGATTCCGTTTCAAGTGAGATCGTACGACGCCTAACAATTGCAACAGATTCTGATGATTTGCTTGGATGTATTGAAAGCTCATACATTAAGTCAATTCTGTTTATCACCCGTAAAGAGTTATCTGAACACATGGTAAGGAGAATCCCTACTAAATACATGTCATTGAAGGTACTCGATTTTCATCATGCTCCATTGAATTATGTTCCGGAAAATTTGGGAAATTTAATCTACTTGAAGTATTTAAGCTTGGGATACACAAAAATAGGAAGTCTACCAAAATCGATTGGTAAGCTCCAAAACTTGGAGACCTTGGATATCGACGGAGCGCTAGTGTTTGTGATGCCAAAAGAGATTACAAGGCTTAGAAAACTTGGTCATCTTCGGATTAGCCGAATATCTTCCTTTGAAGCAGTAAAGGAAAGTCTTGGAGGCCTAACATCCCTCGAACAGATACGTACAATGAGAATAGATTCTGATGGAGTTGTTATTGCAGAGCTAGGAAAGCTAAAGAAATTAAGGGATTTGAGCTTAACTCATTTTAGGAGAAAATACAGACTCACTCTGTGTTGTTCGATAAATGAGATGCACTTCTTGGAGAAACTACGTATCGGAGCAAGGGATACCAATGAAGTGATTGACTTGTCCGATGTATCGCTCCATCCCACACTTAAGAAGCTTTGCTTGAGTGGGAAGTTAGAGAAGTTTCCAAATTGGATTCCAAAGCTCCAAAATCTTGTGAAATTGTCCTTGGAATTATCCTTTTTAACTTGTGATCCGTTGAAATCACTAAAATATATGCCAAATTTGTTGTGCCTAAATATTAGCCACCATGCTTATGAAGGTGAAAGTTTGCATTTTGAGGATGGAGGGTTTCAGAAACTAAAGGAATTGCGGCTTAAAAATTTGCAACATTTGAATTTCATCAGTATCCATAGAGAAGCACTTCTTTGTTTGGAAAGGCTTGAGTTAAGCGAATTACCCAAACTCAAGGAAGTACCTTCTGGCATTCTGCAGTTAGAGAAACTTGGAGTTGTCCATATATTCAACCTGCCAATTCATATTATGGGATTTTTTGATTATGGAAATCCAAAGCGCTGGATCATCCAGAGCAAACCCATATAGAATGTTTTAAAATTCTCTGCAAAATTGCCAAGATATGGAATCATCATAAAGCGTCCAACCTTGCAAATAAATGGTATGTTTGCTTCTTATTAATAACTGTAGAATGATATTTTTGGCTTTATTAGTTCCTAAAACTATTTCTTTACTTTTGCCTCCCTTTTTCTTGATTTTCTTCTAGTGTATGCTTTATTGTTCTTTGTCTACATCAATCATACAAATTAGGGATAAAATCCTCTAATAAGTATTAAGATATTATATGGTGTTGGTACGTGCAAGACTTCAACAACCATTAGTTGCCGTTGTTTGTTAAAAATAGCCTGTTCATTGTAATACCTGTTCTAATACTGTGATCTGAATTGCTAGGTAGTGGGTTTGAAGTTCAACTCATGCTGTGGATAGCAAATCATTTGGATTGCTCTTCTTAGTCAGGGGCTGGACCAGGGCTAACGGACGCTGTTACTCAAGGTGCCATACTAGCAGCAAAACCAGTTAGTGGATTCAAGATAGGAAGAAAAGCTGGGGAGTGGACAACCTCTCACTTTCATTCATACTTACCATCAGAAAATTACCTCACCTAGGCCTGCAGGTTTCTACCATCAATGCTCAATAACTTGTACTATTAGTATTGATATGGGTGCAATTGCTGCTTAGATTGTTTTTGAACTTTTGAGTTCAGGTTTTTCTCTGCAAGGAAGCACAGTCTGTTGATGCTGTAGTGGGAACAATTCATTTGATAGGTTGGTTGGTACTCTAGATGTGTTGTTTGATATACTGGAATTAATAATTCAGCTGCACTGGATTGGATCTAAGCTTCCTTGTTCTCTTCCTGTTGATGAACTATGATTCATTTTATTCAAAGCTGTTTCACTTTTTAAATGATTGTGAGGGTTCGGGAACTGTCTCTAAAGGAGAGGTTGCATCATTGTGGAAGGTTTGTAACAGCAACTCGGAAGATTTGGCATACCTTGAAGAATTCTACTGCATTTATATTCTAGTGACAAAAGTAAGAATGTCACTAAATTGTATAAAAACCGGATGGAATGACCAGTTTGGGGGAAGAAAGTGAAACTTTTTGAATTTGGAAGAATAAATAAATAAATTAGCCTAATATTAAAAAAAAAAAAATTAATGTGTGAGGACACCGTATATTTAGTTATAATACTTGAATATCTATTTAATGATTTGAATGTTTATGAAAAGTCATTCCTGAATTATTTATTTATCATGATTAAAAATAAATTATAATAAATATTTTACCAACATTAAATTATGTATATAATGACTAATGTGAAAATGTTGAAAAGATATTTTATAATTATTTTTATTGTCACTTAAAATAATATTAAATATCATTAAAAGTTTATTTTGTTATAGTAATAGAAACAAGTTCTAATGATTTGATTGGAATTGAAAGATCATATATTGAGTCAATTCTAATTTTCACAAGGGAAATGTTATCTAAATACCTGATAGGCGAAATCCATACAAAATACATGTTGTTGAAGGTACTTAATTTTGGTTATACTCGATTGAGTCAATTGTAAGATGTTCTTGAAAATTTGGAGAATTTAATCCGGTTGAAGTACCTAAGCTTTAGGTATACACAGATACGAAGTCTTCCAAAATCCATTGGTAAGTTCCAAAACTTGGAGACCTTGAATGTATGAAATACATTTGTGTCTTACATTGCGCAAGAGATTAGCAAGCTTAGAAAGCTGCCTCATCTTCTGGGTGATACATTATGTTCCATTGAAGTAATGGATAGTCTTGGAAGCATGACATCCCTTAAAAAGATACGTGTACTCTATATATAGATCTTGACAAATTGGTAATTAGAGAGCTAAGAAAGTTAATGCACTTAAGGGATTTGAGGATTGCTAGTTTTAGGGAAGACCACAGGAACACTCTATGTGCCTCAATAGATGAGATGCAATTAGAGGTACTATGCCTTTTTAACATCATTTTATTTCAAAATTCTTGTAAAGATTAATTTTTAAAAAAATTATGAAAATGCCTAAATTGTGTTTCTTAAACACAAAATTTAGGGTAAAAATCGTGTTTTAAAACACAACTTTTCTATTTATAATATTTAGATATTTTTTTCAAATTTAAGAATAAAAGTCATATTTAATAACACGAATTTTGAATATAGTTATTTTTTTATAATGATTTTATTTATTTTTTACTTATTTAATTTAATTTTTTCAAAAAAAATGAAGCCTTGTTATTAAACAAGACTTTTTTTTAGTATAGTGGAAAGAAAAATAAAGAAACCAAAAAAGAAACGGAACTCAAATTAAACTAAACGGAGCATCCCGCACTATAGCTGGAAGCTAATACCAAAAATGTCACTTCCCACCTTGATGAGTGCAATTGATAATATAAAAAATATTGATAATTTTATTTTTGTATTACAAATTTATTTATTTAATAATGTTATTAATAATTTAATATGTATATTATTATATTTATTAATTTAATGATGAGATATTATTCGTTTTGAGTCTAAACTCTCACAATTTTACTTTTGGTCATCACCTAAAAAATTTCTCAACCATTAGAGTATACTTGTGTTTTATAAGTTATTTATTCGCTTATTTTATTGATGTGAGACTTATTTATATCCTAACAACATATTCATGTCTCAAATCATAAAAGACATTGAAATATAATATTGACATGTATAACCACATTCTCAAACAATATCACTAACATTATTGTTTAATTACATTAACGGATCAGCTAAATCACAATATTTTCACAACTTGCTCTACAATAATTAGTTTTAACATGTATAGCCACGTTCTCATAAACAATATCACTAACATTATTATTTAATTACACATTAACGGATCAGCTAAATTACAAAATTTTCACAACTTTCTCTACAATAATTAGTTTTCAGTTTTCACACTTTCATGGTTTTACATTGAATTAAATTTGAAACTGTACAAATTCAAATCGAACCATAATTTTTTTTGTTGTCAGATGCGACGACTTTTTATGAGATGCGATGATATTTAACTATATTATAATGGCAAATTATTTAAAATTTGGGTAGCGTAATATGCTATGGATATGGTGACAACTAATTGACATTAAAAGATTGCAAATTTAGTACTGGCATGCACGTTCCCACGAGTGTGTGAAACTAGCGCAGCTCATGTACAGTTCATTAAAAGATGGCAAACTACCATGTGATTTTGGACAACTGGACGATACTTCAATTTAGCCGAGCCAAATATATTGTGACTAAGTGATGTTTAAATAATCAAATAAACATTACAATGACAACTGACAAGCGCGGTCCATTTAAATAATAATCGAATACAGATCTATAAATTTACTATATATCCAACTTGCTGTATAAATATTAAAGAATGGGTGGTAAGTCAAACTGAAAGTCCTTCTCTTACTATATACTTAGATATATATAATCTTAAAGAACATAAAGTTTTGCACTCACCACAAAATCACAGAGAAAAAAGAGAGCTGCTAAACCGAGATGGCAGAAACTGCAGCGTCCTTGGCCGGTCAGTATTTGCTTCCTAAAATTTTGGAAGCTTTGAAAATGCTTAGAGATCTCCCAAAAGAAGTTGCAGACATTACAGAAGAACTGGAGAGCTTTCAAGATTTCATCAATGATGCAGATCAAGTGGCTGAAGCTGAAGAAGATGATGGTAGGCGTGATAGAATCAAAAAAAGGGTGATGCGGTTGAGAGAAGCAGCTTTCCGCATGGAAGATATCATCGACGAATTCTCGATTCATGACGAAAACAATCCTCACGATCCTCGATGTGCAGCTTTACTCTGTGAGGCTGTTCAGTTCATCAAAACTCGGATCCTTCAACTTCAAGTAGCATATAAGATTCAGGATGTGAAATCACTTGTTTGTGCTGAAAGAGATGGCTTCCAAAAGCAATTTCCTTTACCAACAAAACCGAGTGGTTCTAGAGGAAATCAGAATGTCACATGGCACAAGCTTCGAATGGATCCTCTATTTATTGAGCAAGATGAGGTTGTGGGCTTTGAGAGTCCAAGACGTACGTTGAAGAATTGGTTGATAGAGGGACGAGAAGAGCGCACTGTCATCTCTGTTGTTGGTTTGGCAGGAGTTGGAAAAACCACTCTTGCTAAGCAAGTTTTTGACAATGTCCATAACGACTTCGAGTGCCATGCATTGATCACTGTGTCTCAATCCTACACTGTAGAAGGACTGCTGAGGGATATGCTGCACCAGTTTTGTAAAGAAAAGATGGAGAATCATCCTGCAGATGTTTCTACCATGGATCGAAGATCGTTGATTGAAGAAGTCAGAAAGCAGTTGCGCAACAAGAGGTATGTTGTCATGTTTGATGACGTGTGGAATGAAAAATTTTGGGATGATGTTGAATCTGCTGTAATTGATAATAAAAATAAAAGTAGAATATTAATTACAACCAGATATGAGAAGGTTGTGGACTTCTGTAAGAAATCTTCTTTTATTGAAGTGCATAAGCTAGAAGAACCTTTAAGTGAAGAAGAATGTTTCAAACTGTTCTGTAACAAAGCCTTTAAGTATGGTTCTGATAGACGCTGTCCAGAAGAACTTAAAGATATATCTCTTGAAATTGTTAGAAAGTGTAAAGGCTTACCTCTAGCAATTGTGGCTATCGGTGGTCTTTTATCTCAAAAAGATTTTTGTGCACATGAATGGATACTGTTTAGTCAAAATCTAAGTTTAGAATTGGAGAGGAATTCTGAGTTAAACAGTATAGGAAAGATTTTAAGTTTAAGTTACTATGATTTGCCGTATAATCTTAGATCACGTTTATTGTATTTTGCAATGTATCCTGAAGATTATGAAGCTAAATCTAGTAGATTGATTAGGCAGTGGGTAAGTGAAGGGTTTGTCAAACATGAAACCGGAAAAACATTGGAAGAAGTTGCACAACAAGAGTTATTAGAGTTGGTCCGCAGAAGTTTGGTGCAAGCATCTTCAATTAGCATTGATGGCAAAGTTAAAGGATGTCGTGTTCATGACTTAATACATGACATGATCCTTAGAAAAGCTAAGGAAACAGGATTTTGTCAGTATTTTGATGAGCATAATGAATCAGTGTCAAGTGGGATATTCAGACGCTTAATAATAACAACAGATTCCAATGATTTAGTTGGAATTGAAAGATCACACATTCGGTCAATTCTATGTCTCAAAAGGAACAGGTTAACTAAACAATTCATGGACAGAATCTTTTTAAAATACATGCCATTGAGGGTACTTGAGTTTGAAAATTTTGGATCATTAGATTTTCCAAAAGCTTTATGGAATTTAATCCACTTGAAGTATCTAAGCTTTAGGAATTCATGGATAGGAAGCCTTCCAAAATCCATTGGTGAGCTCCAGAACTTAGAGATCTTGGATGTACGAGAAACAATGGTGGTTGACATACCAAAGGAGATTAGTAAGATTAGAAAACTACGTTATCTTTTGGGTGATGAAATATCTTTTGTTGCAACAAAAGACTGTCTTGGAAGCATGACATTCCTGGAAAAGATACGGGTCCTCAGAGTAGATGATGAAGGAGTGGTAATTAGAGAGCTAGGAAAGCTAAAGCAATTAAGGAACCTGAGAATTTCTAGTGTTAGGGCAGAACACACCAACACTCTATGTTCCTCCATACATGAGATGCAGTTCTTGGAGGTACTACATATTCATGTAGTAAGTGGCCATGAATTTATAATTGACCTTCCTCATATGTCATCCTTGTCAACACTTCGGAAGCTCTTTCTACATGGAAAGTTAAAAAAGTTGTCAAATTGGATTCCACAGCTCCAAAATCTTGTGAAATTATCTTTGGGGTTCTCTAGGTTAACTGATGATCCATTGGAATCACTAAAAGATATACCGAATTTGTTATTCATCGATATCAGCAATAATGCTTACGTAGGTGAAACTTTGTATTTTAAAGATGAAGGGTTTCGGAAACTAAAGGAGCTTCGGCTTAAGGATTTGTACAAGTTGAATTGCATCTTTATTGAAAGAGGAGCATTGCCGTCTTTGGAAAAGCTTGGGTTAAAGAAAATCACACGACTGAGGAAAGTACCCACTGGAATTCAACACTTGGAGACACTACAAGTTCTCCATGTCGAGGATATGCCAATTGAGTTTGAGCGGAGCATTGATGGCGATGGAGGACAAGACCATTGGATGATCCAGCACGTGCCTCTTGTGAAAATTACGGTCTCGCCGTCATTTCAAGTTAGTCGGGTCTGGAAACAATTTCTCCACTTTAAAAAATCAAAAGAAAGGTGTTTTCTTTTCTCTTCTTATCAATATATCTAGGGATTGATATTCTTGCCCATTATTATTTTGAATAATAAAATAATCGCCTATATACTGTCAATGTAAATTTTTTTTATATTGACAACCAATCATATCTTTTAATATATAATGTTATGTCAATTACTTATTTAATGAAATAAAAATAAAATAAAATAATTTAAAAAGTATGATAGATTGTCAGTATAAATTTTTTTTTACACAGACAGTGTATGAATCATTAACTCATAAAATAATGCAATTTTTTCTAATTCCTAAATTGATTTCTTTATTTTTATCTCTCTTTTTCTTCTAGTATATGCTTCATTTTTCTTTTCTTTTTGAATGTAACTCATACTATTTTTAAGAAATTTTAAGTCATTTTATTATCAAATAAATGAATTATAGAAGAAATTATCACTAGAAAAAAAGTGTGATTTGTGGTGGTTATTTGGCAGTTTTTGGCGGTTAAAAACCGCCACAAACTGAATTACCAGAATCATTAATAATCATCAGATCCATAGTCGCCAAAATCGGTTTACGATGTATATTTTGTAAATGCTGGTTTAAAATCGTCACAAAATTCATTTAAATTTTGCTTGATTCAACATTTCTGGCTGCTTTAAACCCCCAAAAAATTGTGTTAATTTTTTTTCTACTTATTTAAACTTTCTGACAGTTTTAAATCGTCAAAAAAATACATTTTTTTTTACTTTTCTCACATTTTCTGATAGTTTTAAACCATGAACTAATAACTTCATTCTACATTATATTCATGCATTTTTATTATTTTTAAAAAATAGATTTAAAATTATTTTATAAAAGCACGTTCATATTATAAATTGAGAAATAATAATCTACATATTATATTGATGCAAAGGCTGATCAATGCCTCCTTTGTTCTCCATGAAAATATAAAGACAGTAGTTAATGTTTTGTATTATATTGTTACTTCCAATGCAGGGAGGAGATTGAAGCAAAGGGGAGGGAGATCAAATTCTCAAGTGTCAAAAGAATAAGAGAATAATAATGTTTGTGAATATGCCTTTGTTATAATCAGCAGGACACAAAAAGATTATTAATGACTCATGAATATATCACCTTCACAACTTTTTTTCAGTTTTGAATAAATTGACTCATTGAATTTTGTCCTGTTATAAAGTGTTTGATAGTGATTTTCACCACAATAATGCAAATATTGATTTTCATTGCAATAACACAGACCAACACATGGATCATTCTCTTACATGTCATATTAAAGTGATTGAACTCTCAACCCTTATCACTATTCTAGCTGGATCTCACCATGTATATAGTACTTTCATGTCAAAAACAAATATTATACTGTGAGATTTGACTTATCATAAGCAAGATAATTAAATTTACATATTCTCTTTAATTATCCTGTTAGATTATGAAACCACCATAATTAGCTTTGTATTTTATATAAGCATGTCATATGTGAAAAGAAACTAATAAGGATAGGCAAATCAGAAGAAACAAGAACAATTAGGCTAGTTATAAATAGGGGCCTATCCGAATAGTAACCGTGATAATTTGCATTCAAATAATAATAATTCCTTCCCATTAAAAACTATTTGAATTTGTATTTTTCCTTAAACTATATTCTGACTCTACTTATTATATATATATATATATATGCATTTCTAAAATAATCTAAAATTCTATATAATACAATTGACAGAGTATATCCATAAAAAATTTTCCCTCTTCTTCCACAATCAAAATTTCAATTCTTCTAATAAGAAATCAAAGAAAGTATTTTTATATTGATTCGCTCAAACAGAGCAACGTCCAGTCTCCTTCAAATGAAGGGTTTCACTAGATAATCAATGAGGTACAAGCATTATTTGTTCAGCCTCTTCAGACTCGCAGTGAGTATTATAGACCACCCAGGTCACGACCACTCCTGGTCCCAAGTATTCTCAACCACTTCTGGATCGTCAGCTTCACTCGCAGACGCTAGTATTCTTTACTCAGCCACTTCTGGCTCTTAGTGAGTATTATCAACCAACTCTTGGCCCGTTGACTTCATCATCAATGCTAGTATTCTTTACTCAGCCACTCACTAGTGCGAAAGAGGCTTTTTATGTCTGTTATTTTAAGGTTTTTACGTCATAAAAACATCTGACGTTAATGCGGGGGACGTAAATTTACGTTGGCTTTTAAGACCGACGTAAATTTACGTCGGAGTTTTTTGAACACCGACGTAAAAAAGTTGTAAAACCCAAAAAATAATTACACTAGAACGACCCGTTCTCCTTGCAGAATGGGTCGTTCTCCTTGCAGAACGGGCCGTTCTGGTTGCAGAATGGCCCATTCTGCAAGGAGAACTGCTCGTTCTGGTTGTAGAAGGGTGTTACTGACGTTTCTATGTTGTGTACAACTACTATCATTGGAATCGATACTGAGAGCCGTGTCCCTAACTTGAACTGGTAGTCCATATTCAAGATCCAGAAGGCACACTTGACAGACATTTTTCAATTTACTACATGTTTGGCAAATCTGAGTTTTCTTATATCTTGCATCTCGACCAGGTCTCCATCTAAAAGCAGTGAAAGGCCTTGTACAAATTTTGCACTCCTTGTCATACTCTGCTCTTGTCTGCAGCCAAAGATAAACATTATGATACCATGCAATCGCCGAGGAGTTGCCAAAGATAAACATTGTGAATAAAGAAAATAGAAAAGGTAAAGGAGCGAAGAAGATAGGAAAGGAACCATTCGAACATAGGGGTTGTCGTCGAGGCAGGATTCGCAGATGATGGGGAAATTGGAGTGCTCCCAAGCGTCAGCTTCGTGGCTAGTGGATATAAAAAACTCTTTTACGTCAGACTACATAGGGTCTGACATAAATTCAATAATCTAAGTCAGATGTAGCTGATGTCTGACGTAGATTGTTAAATTTACGTCGGACCTATGTAGTCCGACATAAAATAGTTTGCATTATTTTCAAAAATGTCACCGCGTCTTTTCTACGTTGGATATGTTTAGGTCCGACGAGAAAATACAGACGTAAATTCTTACTTTTGCACTAGTGACTTCTGGCTCCCAGTGAGTATTCTCGACCAACTCCTGACCCGTTGACTTCACTCATCAACGCTAGTATTCTTTAATCAGCCACTTCTGGCTAACAGTGAGTATTCTTTGACAAGCCTCTCTAGGCTTTACAAGTATTCTTTCCCTAGCCTCTTCAGGCTTTACATATATTAACTACACAGGTTTGGTTTGAGTGTTTGGGTTACTCTCATAGAGAGGATACATAAGATTATACACTCACTAAGGTATGCAACCTTAGTCTTTACAATGATCGAGTGTTTGGTCTACTCTCACAAAGAGGATACATAAATTAGTACACTCACTAAGGTTTTGTTCCTAAGATGCACATGCTTGGAACTCCTTAATTTACAGAGATAGATACATTGTGGTACACTTGACTCTATACGCTCTATCTCTGGTTTCGTTGCATAGTGGGCTTGATATCACTTGGTTAAGAATGCAAAGCCAAGGACTAGCCAAAAAAAAGCCCCAACCTTTTAAGGCTTGAGATAGTAATATATATATTGTCTTGTGAAATTTGCCTATTGCAAGTGTTTGTTGAAGCAGATACAGTCGTTCATGACTGGTTTGATCTTTCATTTAATGCTCAAGATCTTGCATTAAATGTTACTTCCCATTTATAGACCTTGCGTGAAATCTTCTTTGCCTTATTAGCAGTTGTGTCTAACTTTAGCAGAGACCTAGGAACTTTTTTGTCCTTTTTTTTTGTCACATAGGTGTAGAGTGTTGTCCTTATTTGAAAAAGTGATGTACTTTTTCTAACACATGCATGTTTTTGCTTTTGCGTGCTTTTTTTCTTCTTCTTCTTCTCTTCTCTTTGATCACGCATTTTACGTTGAGAGTGTTTGAGTGATTATAGAAGTTGCCATGATTTGTCTTTTAAGACTTGATTCTTTAATTGCTTGCGTGGCAGTCTTCATTTGCTTCTATTAGTCCTGTGCATCTCAATCTTGACCTCCGTCTGAGCATCTGAGTTTAATGCTTTGACTTTCTTTTGATCTTTGACTCATGCTTCGTCTAATTCTTTATATTGTACTAGAGGTTGTACTTGACACATCTTCGTCTGATTTTAGACTTATGATCATCTGGTGCACATATTATACTTTGTCTTATTCTCATGATGTGCCTTGTTTTGACTATTCTTCATCTGAGTTGACCATTTGGCTTTCTTTGCTGTTTAATTCATTTTTGTTTGGTTCTTGATTTGGTCTTGTTTTGGCTTTTCATTTGATGCCTTCATTTTCAGTGCATGAAATGGCTCTTATTTCATTCTTCAGCTTGCATGTACTTTTGTTTTTCTGAAACACTAACACACTTGTAAGAAATAACAATATGTATTATATTTGTCATATTCAAAACCTCACTAGGAATTTCTTTGTCTTCGTCTAACTTAATAGAAAACATGTTCATACAGAAATCCAATGAAGAAGAAGAAAGCGAAACAGAGATGCATAATACGAATAAAACCTCAAAGCACTACTAGAAATATACTATTTTACATCACCAGATTTACATCGGTTTCATTCAAACCGATGTAAAATAAAATTACGGTGGCATTTTTGTAATAAAATGAAAAATATAAGTATATTTACATCGATTTTACATAAAAACGATGTAAATATAAAATATTTTAAATCAGTTTACAAAAAAACCGATGTAGAAATGATGCGCGAACACATATCTCTTTTCAAACCCTCGACCCCAAATCCCGCGAGGGAAGCCTCATGTTTTCCCTTTTCCCTTTCTCAAATTAGGGTTCCAGCGAGCATGGCGGAGGGTCCCGCGAGCCCCGACAGCGGCAGCCACGAGAAAAGTTAAAGGATGTCGTGTTCATGACTTAATACATGACATGATCCTTAGAAAAGCTAAGGAAACAGGGTTTTGTCACAATTTTGGTGAGCATAATGAATCGGTGTCAAGTGGGATAGTCAGACGCTTAACAATGACAACAGATTCCAATGATTTGGTTCGAATTGAAAGATCACACATTTGGTCAATTGTATTTTTTGGAAAGAAAAGTTTAACTGAACAATTCGTGGGCAGAATCTTTTCAAAATACATGCCATTAAGGGTACTTATTTTGAAAATGTTGGATCGTTAAATGTTCCAAAAGCTTTATTGAATTTAATCCACTTGAAGTATCTAAGCTTTCGGAATTCAAGGATAGAAAGTCTTCCAAATCCATTGGTAAGCTCCAGAACTTGGAGATCTTGGATGTACGACGAACATCGGTGTTTGAATTTCCAAAGGAGATTTGTAAGATTAGAAAACTACGTTATCTTTTGGGTGGTGTAATATCTTTCGTTGGAGTGAAAGACTCTCTTGGAAGCATGACATCCCTCGAAAAGATAAGCGTCCTCATGAGGGAGTGGTAATTAGAGAGCTAGGAAAGCTAAAGCAATTAAGGAATTTGAGGATTACTAAATTTAGGGCAGAACACAAACACTCTATGTTCCTCCATACATGAGATGCAATTCTTGGAGGTACTAGATATTCATGTAGACTATGGCCATGAAGTAATTGACCTTCCTCATATGTCATCCTTGTCAACACTTCAGAAGCTCTTTCTACATGGAAAGTTAAAAAAGATGCCAAATTGGATTCCACAGCTCCAAAATCTTATGAAATTGTCTTTGGGGTTTTCTAGGTTAACTAATGATCCATTGGAATCACTAAAAGATATACCGAATTTGTTGTTTGTCTCTATCAGCAATAATGCTTACGTAGGTGAAACTTTGTATTTTAAAGATGAAGGGTTTGGGAAACTAAAGGAGCTTCGGCTTAAGGATTTGGACAAGTTGAATTCCATCTTTATTGAAACTAATGATCCATTAGAATCACTAAAAGATATACCGAATTTGTTGTTTGTCTCTATCAGCAATAATGCTTACGTAGGTGAAACTTTGTATTTTAAAGATGAAGGGTTTCGGAAACTAAAGGAGCTTCGGCTTAAGGATTTGGACAAGTTGAATTCCATCTTTATTGAAAAAGGAACACTGCCGTCTTTGGAAAAGCTTGTGTTAAAGGAAATCCCAAAACTGAGGAAAGTACCGAGTGGCATTGAACACTTAGAGAAACTACAAGTTCTGAAGATGAAGGATATGCCAATTGAGTTTGAGCAGAGCATTGCTGGCGATGGAGGACAAGACCATTGGATGATCCGGCATGTGCCACGTGTGCAAATTAAGATGTCGTTACTTAATATTGTGGCGAAAGCTAATGATATGTACAGAAGAAGTCTGTTAACTGATGCCTTTAGCCAACAGCCCGCGCAGATATAACTCCAATTTTCTTAAATTCATATAGCTATAGTAAACTTCCTGGTTCAGTTCGCAGACTTAGTCAGCAAATCCCGCAGATACTTCATTTATTAATAAGTAATTTTTATGTATTTTTACATCATGTATTTATATCAATTTTTATGTATTATTTCTCTT